TGAGTGTGGGCAGCTCCCCAGGGTATGTAAGGGTCCTTGCTGACCACGAACAGCTCGGTTCCGCCCCAGTCAATAGCCCGACCCACTGAGCAATGTTTTTTGCAAAGGAAGATTTTTCTTCTCACTGTGGTCATTTTGCTCAGTGGAGTGGTTCTGCTTTTGTAGTGCAAAACGGGTCTCCGCTGCCAAATCCGGTCCTGTAAACTCCTTCCAGCTCAGCCAATTTAAGAAATTAAGTGGCGGAAATCAAAATAGGAGGAAGGGAGAGAAACGTGTTGCGAAGAGGAAAAAAAAACACAAGCATCACGTTTTTTCCCTTTCTTTGAATATCCTGAAAACTGCAAAAAAAGTGTTTTTATGGGTGTGTGTGAAGTCGGTGAGACAGTCAGTAATTTGAATCTAAACAGCACATCGCTTTCAAGCCCACAATAGCTGAAATCTGAGGAGCCACTGCATATGTATGTTTTAAAAAGCTGCAAGTATTTGGAAAAATAAGTGTCTTTGTACCATATGCCACCCCTGAAGAAGAAAGAAGCTTCAAGGGCAGATGCAAAAGCCACAAGAACGTCCTGCCGAAGAGGGCAGTGGCAGGAAATGTACCTGAAGCTCAACTGCTCTAGGAACCAAGAAAAGGGAGCTGGCCCATGAATTCTGCTCGGCCAGAGCCAGCGGATGCAGACATTTCCCCTCCTGCCGGCACCCTCTGCTCTGTGGGAGATGGTAGGCAGCCGGGGTCTTCAAAGGAAGATCAGCAATTGGCCCTCAGCTCAGTATCAACTAGAAGCCAGGATGGCTCATTTGTTTGGCTCATTCTCTGAGACCCTCTAATATTCAACAAAGGAAGCCTGGGACATTTTCAAATGAAGTCCCAGAAGAGGGAATAAAGTATCTAAATCATCAAAGATTTCCAAGGAATTCCGCTTAAGAGTTTGGGGGTGGCCGGGCAAGGTCTAAAACGACTTTAAACCTTGAATGGGGAGAATCGGGAAAAAGAAAAGACCGAAAGGAAACAATCTAGTCTCACTTAAAAAGTGTTTTTTTTTGCCTTTGTGTGTGTGTCTTTTTTCTTAATCTGCATTCCCACTTTTGTTGAAGCACCATTCACAATAGCCGAAATCTGGATTCAACCTGTTTCTTTCCTTTTAAATGACTTAACACGCGATTCCATAAAATAATAATTATGAAACTGCACTGATGGCTTTATAACATGAAAGATGTTATGTTGGTGACAATGATAACACAGGATTCATCTGTCTCTCCAGTTTTGGGGCCATGAAGTTCATCCTGTGACCTAAATTCCCTGATGGATCTGAGCAAAGCTGTTGATTTTCCAGTTTGTTCACCCATTTTCCCTGTTATAAGGACAACAGTGATGACTTTCAAGCTCTTTACCTGTCAGACCAAAAAACAGAAGCCTTTGTGTTTTTAAAGAAACCATGTTCTTAGGCTGGGCGTGGTGACTCAAGCCTATAATCCCAGCACTTTGGGAGGCCGAGGCGGGTGGATCACGAGGTCAAGAGATCGAGACCATCCTGGTCAACATGGTGAAACCCCATCTCAACTAAAAATACAAGAAGTTAGCTGGGCATGGTGGCGCGTGCCTGTAATCCCAGCTACTCAGGAGGCTGAGGCAGGAGAATTGCCTGAACCCAGGAGGCGGAGGTTGAGGTGAGCCGAGATCGTGCCATTGCACTCCAGCCTGGGTAACAAGAGCAAAACTCCATCTCAAAAAAAAAACAATGTTGTGAAGAGAAGAAAGAGACAATGTCTGAGGCGGAACCTCAATTGGCATTTATATCCTCTGCAGGAGGAAGGCTGGCGTCTTAAACCCAACTTGCAACAGTGTGGGGACCTTTTCGGTAAACCCGCTAATGAAAAGAGAAACGAAGCTCACTTGCACTTGGTAGCAACCCAGATATCAGCTTAGTGGCCACCTGGCTTCTAGGTGCTGGAACCGGCCGGCATTTCCCTTCTCTCCCTGTAACTTAAAGACTGAATTCATAAATGAATAACTAAGTCCATAAAAGTGCACCTCAGCTGAACGGTACTGCCGCCTTTGCAGAGGGTCTTCTTAGTTAGGTTAATCTCATTCTGATTTCATTAACCCCATTCTCTCCCCAGTGCTCTCTACGTTTTGTCAGAGGCAGGACACAGAAAACAAACATCTTTTCTCTGTGAATTCTGCTGCATTTCTGTTTATTTTGAAAGACTTCATGAAATAATTACTTCACTTCTACCACCAAGGCCCAAACCTTCATTGTCTCTCCAGAACACCAATCACATAGCGATTTTTTTTTTTTTTTTTTGAGACGGAGTTTCGCTCTTGTTACCCAGGCTGGAGTGCAATGGCACGAACTCGGCTCACCGCACCCTCCGCCTCCTGGGTTCAGGCAATTCTCCTGCCTCAGCCTCCCGAGTAGCTGGGATTACAGGCACGCACCACCGTGCCAGCTAATTTTTTATATTTTTAGTAGAGACGGGGTTTCAGCATGTTGACCACATAGCGATTTAAAAACCATAATAATGCTCATCACTTTAGTTCCTCAGACTACTACAATGTCACTCATCTGGATAAAAGCAAAACCAAGTACATGCTCAATATCCCTAATCCCCAAACCCAAAACACTTCTGACCCCAAGCATTTTGGATGAAAGATACTCAACCTGTACTCTGCAAATTTCTCTCCACGTATGTGATCACAGTGAAATTGTGTTTTTTTTCTCCCCCTTAAAAGCCTACAGCATGTGCAAGTTAACCACAAATCCAGAGAACCCCATGAAATCAATGAGCTGAAATGCTGTCAGACAAATGGCACACAAACATTAACTACATACTCAATTATGGAGAACACAGAACGGCAGACTCCTCTCGAGGTTCTTAGCGACTGTGGCGTTACCGTCTTTAATTATGCCTCTGCTGTCTATTCCAGAACACTAACTCTTTAGAAGAGTGATGCACAGAAATTCTTTATTAATCACCAGCGGGAGATGCACTCGCCCAGATAGTTGTGTTTTGCTAATGTGTTTACTTCCAAAGCCTCGAAACCTATTAAGAAATCTGCCCACAGGAAAACTCACCGACTGCTAACACCAAATCGACTTTAATGATGGTAGAAAGTTTTGTGGTTACCAACTACCCAGGGCATAGCCTTCTAAGAAATGGTTGGGGGAGGGAAGAGAAGGCTGAATCCATGAATGTATTTAGACTGCCTGTTGGATATTTGCATGAATAAATTTTTCTGCAGTTGAGTTGCAGTTGAGAAGATTTGCAGTTGCACAGGTGGACAGAGTCACACCAGGATGCCATAGACACTATTCACACTGAAGACTCTCATCATCAGTTCAGTGGAAGCAGGTGAAGGTGGAAAGGAATCGGTGATAGCTTACCTATTCAGAACTTATAAGAGCTTTTTATAGAGATAGTGTGGATGAAAGAAGGGAGAAATAAAATGGAAGATAGGTGGACTTCATGGGAAGATGACTTTAATTCTGTCAGAGGAACAAGAAAAATGGTCCTCTCTGAAAAGGTAAGAAACTAATGGAAAATACAGGACATGACCATTTGATAATCAAAGCCCCAAGGCACCCTTGGCTCTCAGGCCCAAGTCTCAGTTTACTTAAGGCCGCCATGCTGTGGGGAAGCCCCAGGTAGGTGTTTCTGCCAGTAGTTTAGTTCTTCAAGTGTTTGCAGCTTAGGCAACAGACTGATAGTGAAGGGGCCTTCAGGTGACTCGATAATTTCATTTCCTAGTCAGAAGTCTTCCCAGCTGAGGCCATGACATTATGGCACCCCCAAGGTGCCCTGTCCAAATTTCTGACCCATACATCCCATGACCATAATAAAAAATAATTGCTGTGCTGAGTTTTGCAGTAAACTGATATGCAGAAATTGCATCTGGAAAACAGGGGTTTCAAGTCTTGATCTGAGGGAAGGAGCTGAGATTGTTCTGAAGAACTTTGCAGTGTGTCTTCAGTTCCCAGGCCGGTCATTTGTAAATTTAAATGACAAATTAAAAATGGAGAAGACAGGGAATTCGTTCAAAACAACTTTTAGCCCTCTAAAAGATTCTTTGGGGATATTCAGGGAAATTTAAATACAGACTAGATAATAGCAGATATGAAATTTCTGTTGTTCTGGTAAAGAGTGATAATAATATCATGTATTACAATCATATATGGAAAATATTACTGTTTTAGGAGATATTTCTGAATGATCAAGAGATAAGGCACCCTGTGTCTTAGTGATGACTGTCACTTTCAAGGGTCTCCATATCAGCAAAAAATTAGAGAGGAAGAGAGGAAGTAAACATGGCAAAAATGTAGCACTTATTGAATCTAGGTGGAGGATATTTGAATGGTCAGGTAGCACTATTTCTCTATTTCATAGGTATGAAAATGTGGAAGAACAAAGTGGGAGGGGAGAAGAATTGGTACATTGATCTCTCAGAATTGTGAGAAGTAGAAGAATGAAAAAGACTGAAGAATAGAAGATGGAAAACTCATAGAATTCCTGTCAGTCCTGGTCCAATACACTGATCAGTTTATCTAGAACCAAGATGACAGGCAATTAGCTATATTGATAACACCTGGAATTCAGCAAAATAAGCAATTTGTTCAATAATAGTGATTAAAACAGAGCCAGGTCTTTATCTCTAATGATTACATGACAGCAAACCTGAATGCCTACAGGGGCTAGGAAAATCCATGAATGTAGAAACTCAGAAGGTCTTAGATGATAATGAATGAAAACCATAAGGGCTTCCTGGACCCAGCTCAGCCCACTGTCACCATCCAGGGACACGAGCCAAGTGTTCTCTGATCTTCCAATGTTTTTCAAAGCCAAAAAATTGGGATTATTATGTAAGACCTTATAGTTTCTAAATGCTGACAGTGAATTTAAAAATGTGAAAATACAGTACAAGCCAATTAAAATACAACTCCACATCCCATTCAGCCCAGAAGCTTTAGTTTGAGACTTAAGCTACATTACATCGTGGCTGATTGATCGATTACACGTTTTTCCCCCTCACGGTATTTTTTGATACAGCTAAAATGCAAACTTTCAAGGCTGAAGTGGTGATTGCATTGGTGTGACACCCTGCTGTCCTCTGGTGATGACACCTATCACTCTGCAGTTACAATCTGCAGAATATAAAGTGTCTCCGCTATAGATTCAGGTCTCTCTTTCCCTCCATAACGTCTAGGATGCTGCCCTCCTTCCCTGAGAGTTTACTTACATCCTGGCACCAGCCAGGGGACGCTTCCCCCACAGTGTAACTTCAGTCGTTAGGAGACAGCTGGATGCCATTGCTGTGGAGTGGTCATTGAGCGATGGATTGGAGGAAGGAGAGCAAGGCTGATGGTTATGTGGGTGCCTAGTACAGAACAGGCTTCCTGGAGAGGCTGTGTCGAGCCCTGCCTGTGTTTCTCAAAGCCGTCTCTCCCTTGTCACGTCTCTTTGCTCTTTTCTCCTTGATGCCATTCTCTTTTGGGGAAATACTTTCTAGTCTTGATAGAAGGAACTCAGGATGTCATTTATTGTGTTTATTTCATACCTCAATTCCTCTTAGAGCCCAGCTTCTAAGGTTCAAACTTTTTTTATGCCACTACATTTCTTCTTTGAATTAATGCCAGTTGCATAGACGCCCCCCCCATCAACCAGATGAAAAATAATGCCAAGTATAAAATAGAAAATAGCACAAAAAACAGATCAATATACTAAATATGACAATATTTCATACAACATAAACAGAATAGATGAAAACAGGAAATCAGAAAAAGACAAATCAAAAGTAGGAAAATAAATTCAGGGAAAAGATTAGTCTGTTAAAAAAACTCACTTCAGTTACTTTGGAGAGGGCCATCGATTTAACTCAGAGCTTCTCAGAGTCTATATTCACCATGAGAGCCCCCCTGTACAAACATCAGACTTCATGCCAAATGCAGATACCCCTTCCGAATAAAAGTCAGGTTCCAAACAGGTTGTCTGAGGAAAACGTCTGGGAGATGGAACTATGTCACAGTTACAGCTGGCTCCCTTTGTGGCTGTTGTTCTTGTGCTGCTGTTAATCTCTGATTGGAGAGAAATGGTCAAACCAATGATCATTGTTCTCCAATTAGCACAGCAAGAGAGTCTCTTTTCTCTAGACTCTGCTAGAACAATGGTCATAGCAGAGTCCAGAGATAAGAGACGGCTCAGTCTCCAGCACCATTTGGCAGCAGGGGAGAACGGAGGAAGAGCAGCTCAACAGTCAGGGCTATGAAGCCGTTACGTACCCTATACTTCGAATCTATGCATCCCTCAAAATTTCATATGCTGCAACTTAAACCCCAAGATGATGGTATCAAGAGGCTGGGCCTTTGGGGATGATTAGGTCATGAGGGTGGAGCCTTTATAAATGAAATTTATGCCCTTATAACAGGGCTGCAGGAAACTGGCGAGGCCCCGTTGCCCTTCTGCTCTTCTTCCATCGTGTAAGGATGCAGCAACCAGGCAGCATCTTGGAAGCAGAGAGCAGCCCTCACCAGACATCAATACTGCTGCCTTGATCTTGGACTTCCCAGCCTCCAGAATCATCAGAAATAAATTTCCATTGCTTATGAATTACTCAATCTGTGGTATTTAGTTGTAGCAACATGAACAGACTAAGACCGGGTATGTGTCCCTGTTGGGATGCCTCAGTTCGATGATCTAACCAGTTCAAACCTGGGCTTGTCAAGCTACACGGTGACTGACATACTATGGCTTTGCTAATGAGAGAATGTGCTGATCAGTAAATATGGTTTGTGGGATATTAGCAGATCTGATGTAACTATAGGAGTGGCACAGCTTGTTTAGAGGTGGAAATAGAAAAATTTCTGTGAAATCAGCTCTTTTCTCAAGGTGCTAGAATCAAGGAAATTTACACATATATTCACAAGCCACACAGATGGTTCCCATGTGCATTTTTAAGATCTAGAGTTGTCCTGATAGTTACAATATCTCTTTGGAAGCTGCAGATTTAGGGTAGAAAGGAATATTTTCCTGTGGCTCTTGGATGTGAAGCTTATGGTTCCATTTCCCATTGAGCATTTATAAATGAACCTTACGGGAATTATTATTTTAAAAAACAGATGCTAGGTTCCATTAAGATAAATACATAGGTATTGTTGCTTCTCTCCCATGTGCTGTATCTTTTTGCTTTGTTTTGTTTTCTGAAGCTGTTACTTAAAGATTCACTAGGACCTCACAAACTTGTCAATAATAAGCCTTTTCATTTGCTTTTACAAGCAGCATGCAACACTACCAAGATCATAAATAAGCTGCCTCCTGTCCCTGGAAGTCTCCCAGATCCTCTTCCACTTTTCCTTCTTTCCCTGCTGACCTTTTCTTTCTGGACCATGGCTGTAACCTCAAGCTCTCAGCCCTGACTCAGATGTTTGGTTGGGAACAACAGTTTGGACCCCCCCTCTATGGCCTGCCCCCAACCATGAATGCCTGCTCCTATACGTCTCCAAAGCATGTCACCTAAGGACACTAACACCAGGTGGCCCATGGGCTATCGCTGAGGTGCCCTTGAGTGCCTTAAGTGATGCAACTAAAAACATATTATTTAAATGACACAAAACAAGGAGAGGTAAGAAATCAACTTCATTCTCCAATATCCTAAACACGTGTGCACACACACACACACATGCATGATTTCTCTAGTGCAAAGTTTTTTATCAGCAGGTAGAGGTGGTAAGCCTCTTCATTCAAATACACATAAAGTCAAGATGCTGAGGGTCCACCCCACCTCAGGTTTGGGGGAGGCCAAAAAAATGCCATGTTGGCTGAGGAGAGGGCATGGGCAGCCATGCTGGGTGAGGAGAGGGCATGGGCGGCCATGCTGGGTGAGGAGAGGGCACGGGCAGCAGTGCTGGGTGAGGAGAGGGCATGGGCAGCCATGCTGGGTGAGGAGAGGGCATGGGCAGCCATGCTGGGTGAGGAGAGGGCATGGGCGGCCATGCTGGGTGAGGAGAGGGCACAGGCGGCAGTGCTGGGTGAGGAGAGGGCATGGGTGGCCATGCTGGGTGAGGAGAGGGCATGAGCAGCCATGTTGGGTGAGGAGAGGGCATGGGCAGCCATGTTGGGTGAGGAGAGGGCATGAGCAGCCATGTTGGGTGAGGAGAGGGCATGGGCGGCTGTGCTGAGGAGAGGGCATGAGCAGCCATGTTGGGTGAGGAGAGGGCATGGGCGGCCATGCTGGGTGAAGGGAGAGTATGGACAGCCATGCTGAGTGAGGGGAGGCTATGGACAACTTGTTAGGTGAGAAGAGGGTATGGGCTGCCGTGTTGAGTGAAGGGTGGGGATGGGCAGCCATGTTGGATGAGGAGATAATTTTGGTTACCGTTTACAACATCCTAAGCACACTGGGCTCATCATTCCACCGCATTGTCTGCCCACTTCCCCTTCTCCCACTGAAGGAATAGCTGCTGATATAATCATCTGTGTGTAAGCACAATCCTTTTGCTTTAATCATCATTGTGATTAAAACATATTAGGAGAAGCCTTATAGTAACCTAGGAAAGGACATCCAGGTAATGCTAGAAAGCTTCACAGACATCATCAAGCTGCTGAGAGAATGGAAAGTTCCAAATGCTTCCTTCCTCAAGGGCTTAATAAACCAATAAATGGCTGGCCCTGGCCTCGTCTTTCCAGCCTATTTGTCGCACAGATGATGGAGAAGTTTCGATACTTGCAGTGACAGGTGGCAACTCACAAGCTAATGGGGGCTGGCTGATTGGAGGGCAGAGACTGTGCGGTGTATCATGTCCTGTGACACTCAGTGGCTACAGGCTGCCGCAAACAGAGAACACCAGCCAGTCAAGTTTCTTCTGAGGCAGGAGTCAGCAAACCTTTCCTGTAAAGAGCCAGAAAGTCAATGATTAGGTTTCACGGCCATATGGACTCTCTCACATGGATTCAATCTGGCTGTTGTGGCAGCAGAGCAGTCATAGACGTTAGGCAAACAAATGGGCATGGCTGAGTGCCAATAAAGCTTTATTCACACAAACAGGCAACAGATCAAATCTGGTCTGTTCATGGTTTCCTGAGTCCTGTTCTGGATCACCATTAACTTCAAGATATTTAGGGAGACAGAAATATATACGCTATTTCCAGGTAACGTTCACCTGAGGTGTATTGTAAAAAGAGTAGAAGCATAGCTGGTAGATGTTTCTGATGGAGGATATTTTGATTTTTACCCCTGTTTATCCTGAGACCCTCATGTTTTCAGAGAGTGAAAATAAGTCATCTATCACCTTAGGCAGGGTGAAGTATTACAACAGAAATAAATAAGAGACACATGGCTAGCTTTTGTTTTCTTCTTCAAGAGCTTATTTTTTTCTGAGCATTGTGAACGACAGAAGTGATTCTTGCTCTGTCCTCAGGTTCAGCATCTGTGGCGGAAGCTGCTGAGAGAAAGAAAGAGAGCTCCTCATCCTCCTCTAGCAGTTTGGCCAGACCACTAAGATGCCAGAGAAAAAGCTTCCAGGAGACTTGTGCTTCTCGGAGGAAGATGAGTTCAAGCACTTTCCTCTGAAGACTGGGCTGGTGAGGATAGGAAGAAGATGCCCATGACTGGGAGCCTAATGAGCATGATGATTGCATAAAATGTGTGTATTTTTATCAGTTAGAGCTGAATCAGAGAAACACATCACAAGACTGGAACCCCATGGCGTCCAGCAGAAGCACCGAAACAATACAGACTCCAGCTCTCTGTCAGTGCTAAGACAAAGAACCCAGGATGGGACAATTAAGCGAATCTGTTGCCCACCCACTCTGCTGGGATTTATTACCTTATAACACGAAACTAAAATTTGGTCCAGAAACTAATTATAGAAATAATACACATGTATTTCTGGCATGTACATATATGCATATGTGTGTATATATATGTATATACATGCATACATATCTACATTCTTACTTTTTGAGTTTCAAACTAAGAGCTAGTTGCTGAAGAAAAGGCTTGTAGACCACATTGAAGAGTTCATCTCACCTCTCTTCCCAAACTATATGCAGGTTCTATAAACTGAAGGGAAAAAGAAAATAATGAGGTAAATGATAAGTCAACCTCTCACCTGTGAGTCATAGCCAGTGATTGGGAAGAGAAGCCATTACCTGTATCACACATCTGGTTATTTTTGTGGTCAGGAAGCACAACTGCAGATCTATGGGGCTTTGTATCAGTCAGCTAAAGCTAGGTTATGCTGCACTAACAAATAGCACCAAACCATGATTAACAGATATGAGTTTCTCTTTCATAGGACATACCCCTCAAGAGTCAGCAACAAACCTTTCTCAGTGTTCTTCACTCTGGGGCTCAGACCAAAAAAGCAGCCTTTTGAAGGGAGCAGGATAGAGCCACAACATGGTTCTCAATACCTTCTTGGATGTGGTACACTGATCTGCTCAGGTTTCATTGGCCAAAGAAATTCACATGTCCATGCTTGTCATCACTCGGGCAGGGATGGATCTTCCCAAAGGGAAGGCAGAAAATATTTAGAAAAAAATAATTATATAATTCTCTTTTTTATACCAATTTGTGGCCACAAAACTCCCATTTCAAATTGATTCCTGCTCTGAATGTCTCCAAGGACTAAATCTAAATCATTGATTTTCTTCTGACAAAGCCAAATGATGTTCTTAGAATCCCAGACTAGAAGACTTGCGTCTACATCCTGGTTAGAGAGTACGAAGCTCAGGCTCTCAAAACCTTGGTTGTCCACCCCTTTGTGCACCAGGTACAAGCTGCCCTCCAAGCACAAATGCCTCTGTCCTCCCAACCAGGACTTCAACCAGACTGGCCACATAAATTAATCTCACTTTGACAAACTGCAAATCCTCAGAGGAGGGCAGCCTAGAAAGTAGCAGTGCAGCTTTTCTCATATGATTTGCTTATTTTATAAAATTAGCCATGTGGCTATGTGTGTCACGCCATAAGATGACAATTCATGAGAGAGAAATTGTCATTTTTCATAATTCAGAGGCTAGAATGATTGCACTGTTCCTCCAAAAGATGAATATTCCCAGCCATTACAAAAGCATAATGGCACTTGACAGATGCACTGGAAACACCATGGAACCCAGGCACCATTTGTCACTGCTGGCATTTAGATTGTCAGTCTGTGTGTTCTGTCGGACTTTAACATTTTGCTTCTGATTAGAAACAAAATGAAAAGTGCTGTGTTAAAAGAAGTACAGGTAACCATAGAGATGTGTAAGTTTCCTACTTTTTCAAAAACCTACAATGAAAACCAACATGTGCATGTCAGAAAAGCTCTTCCTATATGTGGGATGGCCCCAGTTCGAAGTCTGAATCCTGAGGCCATTGAAAGCACAGTTCTTGGTGAGTACCCAGCCCTTCAACCGGGGTTAGATCAGACATGCTTTAGACAGTGACCACCAATGAGCCCAGAAAACTGCCTTCATAGGGAGGAAATTTCTTCTAGGATCCAGGGCTGGAAAGAGCCCTATTATATCCATGCAGATATTCAGAAAATGGGTTTGAAGGATGGTGGCAAAGAGGATAAGTAAGTAGTATGGTATCACAAAAAGGGACTTGGACTAAGATTATGAAGGACGGGGCTCTAGAACTATTTGTGCTATTTACTATTTCTCTGACCCTAAGAATTCACCAATCCTCCACTTCTTCATCTTGGAAGCAGAAAACATAAAAGTGCTTGCAAATTTGTAATTTACAAAATTTGTAACCATTTTCTGAGTATCTGCATGGACATAGTAGGGGCTCTTTCCAACCCTGGATCCTGAAAGCAAATTCTTGCCTGCAAAGGGGGTTTTCTGGGCTCATTGGTGGTCACAGTCTAAAATGTATCTGATCTAACCCCAAGCAAGGCTGGACACTCACCAAGAACTGTGATTTCAATGGCTTCAGGATTCAAACTTTGACCTATGGGTGGATCTATAGGATCAGAATTATCTTCATTGTCCTGAGGATCTGAGGAATGTATATGGAGGGACAAGAGTAGGTGTCTGAAGCATTTGGTGATGGTCAGTGCAGCCACCAGCAAAAGGCTGGGAGGTGAGGTTCATCATTATCTCCCTCATCATCATCACTGTCATCATCATTATCATCACCATTATCATCATCATCATCATCATCTGTCATCATCACCATTACCATCTTCATCACCATGACCATCATCACCACCATCACCATCGCAATCTTTATCAACATGACCATCCCATCATCATCTCCATCATCATCACCACCATCACCACCATCACCATCATCATCTCCATCATCATCACCACCATCACCATCATCTTCACCATCATCATCACAATCTTTATCAACATGACCATCACCATCATCATCTCCATCATCATCACCACCATCACCATCATCATCACCATCATCATCACAATCTTTATCAACATGACCATCACCATCATCATCTCCATCATCACCCCCATCACCATCATCACCATCACCATCTTCACCATGACCATCATCACTATCATCACCATCTTTATCAATATGACCATCACCATCATCTCCATCATCATCACCACCATCATCACCATCACCACCATCACCATCACCATCTTCACCATGACCATCATCACCATCACATCATCATCACTATCATCACCATCTTTATCAATATGACCATCACCATCAACTCCATCATCATCACCACCATCACCATCATCACCATCTTTATCACCATCACCTTCTTTACCATGACCATCATCACCACCATCACCATCATCATCACCATCATGATCACCATCTTTATCTCCATCATCATCACCCCCATCACCATCATCACCATCACCATCTTCACCATGACCATCATCACCATCACATCATCATCACTATCATCACCATCTTTATCAATATGACCATCTCCATCATCACCATCATCACCATCACCATCATGATCACCATCATGATCACCATCTTGATCAACATGACCATCACCATCATCATCTCCATCATCATCACCACCATCACCATCATCATCACCATCATGATCACCATCATCATGTCCACCATCATCACCAGCATCACCATTATCACTGTCTTCATCACCATGACCGTAATCATCACCATCATTATCCTCAACATAATCATAACCATCACTATCTTTACCATCATCATCATCACTGAAGCAGAGAAGGGGGAAAACACTGAAGCTTCATTTTCCCCATAAATATCATTCCCTTCATAAATAAGTTTAAGCCCTCGCCATCCACAAACAAGTACCAGAAGACCAATCCCAGCTCACAAACATATTTTATTTGCTCCGCAGAATGTGGCCACCTTGTTGTTGTTGTTTTAAAATCACTGCAACAGTTTTAAAATGGGAGATTTCATGTAAATGTCCTAATTTTTCTTGAAAATTGGCATATCGAACCACCCTGGGCTTGTCCACTTGGCAACCCTTGGCTGCAACTGAGAAATCCTTGCCTCCTTCAGAGAACATCATCTTTGGAATTCACCAGTTATCACCGCACGCTACTGACTGAGGACGAACAGCCAAAATAATCTGCATTTCCCGATCCGTTCTTGTCAGTGTGTGGATGTTCTACCACTACATTGTAAAATATTTGATTTAAATTCTAATTTGACACTTTCTCCTTAAACAGTGTCACCAGCATAAATAAAAATAACATTTAAGATATTTATGTTTTCAACTCGACCAGCCCAAGTACTTAGTATAATTTTCATTGAATGGCATTCAGGATTCAAGGTTCCTGTTGTCTTCCCTGACACACAAAGGCACAAATCTTTATTCCTAGAAGCTAAATCAGCAATGATACTAAAGGAATATATTATTCAATAAGAAAGGTGTCTCCACATGGCAAATAAAACCACGAGAAAGGGTTATT